ATGTCCAGGGTCACAACCGCGCAGTACTCCTTCGTTCCAAATCTCCATCGGGTTCCCTCGATCGCCCTCGATGCGATGTCGGTGACCGCTCTGATGGCGTCGACCGTGGATCTGGCCTTCCGGAATCCATACTGGGACTCTGACAGAGCTTCCTTCTCTTCGATCACTGCTAGTAGTCTAGAGTACACGATCCTCTCCAAGACTTTACCGACGGTATCCAGCAGGCATATTGGGCGGTATCCTGACGGTTCCTCCGGGGCTGTTTCCTTTAGGCAAAAGGATTAGGCGCTGCACCTTCCACTGCTTGGGAAAACTCCTTCCTTAGGCATCTGTTGTAGGTGTCAACGAATACCTCCGGTCTGGTGATTGCTCCAAGCTTTAAGGCCTTGTTGGGTATCCCGTCTGGACCTGGGGCCTTCTTGTCTCCGACTCTCCGGATGGCTGTCGTCACCTCCTCTGCGGAAATCGCCTGCCACAGTTCGTGGTCTTGGCGCGAAGAACTCCCATCCTGGTGTGGGTGCTGTGGGAAAAGTGCCTCCACGATGCTACGAAGTAGCGTCGGCACGTTACTTCCGGCGTTTCCTGGCTTCTGATCTTCTTGGTGACAACCTTGTATGCCGTCCCCCAAGGGTTTATATCCGCCTCCTCGCATATCTGCTTAAAGCAGGACGACTTGCGCTTTTATTGCTCGCTTAAGAGCTCGCTTGGCTACACGGAGATCGTCTCCCAACGTGTCGAAGTCTGGGCGACCCCGCGCCTCTGGTAGCACTCCTCGACCGTAGGCATGCTTTCCTGAGCTGGCCGATCTCTTCGTTCCACCAGTAGCAGGGTGCTCCTCGTCTGCTCGGCTTCCTTCGCGGCATTGCAGCGTCGCACGCCTCCTCTAGGCGCATTGCAAGTTGCAGAGTCAGGCTATCTGCCGTTTCCCCCATTGGGCTCCAGTTGGCGTCGCGGAGACACTCCTTGAACGTTTCCACGTCCAAGTGGTCGTCCTTCCATCTGGGTCCGGTCGTCTTCGCACGCTGTCTCCTTCGACTTTCTCCGCAGTCAAAATGGATCGCCTGGTGGTCGCTAAACGTGAACTCCTCGCTTACTCTCCATGTAGATTTCCTACAGAGTGAGCTGCTCATGAACGTCAGACTATAATAGACCCGCGTCCCGCCTTGAAGTACGTTAGCTTCCTTCCGTCGTTTGCAAGCACCACATCCAAGGACGCAAACTCCTCCAGCAGACACGTGCCTCTGGCGTTGGTCTCTCTGCTACCCCACTCCACTGACCACGCATTAAAGTCGCCCGCTATCACTAGGGGCGCTCTGCCGCGCGAGTCTTCTGCTATGTCTGATAGCATCCTCTGGAAGCGCGCTAGGTCCCAGCTCGGCGGAGCATAGCAGCTGTAGAAGGTGACCCCTCTCAACCTCGCTCTGACGAAACCGTCGTTCATATCTCCCGTGGGGGGGTTTTTACAGACCAGATGGCTGCCTTCCCGCATCTGCTGTTGGTCCAGCCGCTTCGCGGTATCGTCCTGAATGGCTCGCATATAAGAACGACGTCCGTCTTCCGCTCTCTAACTGCTTGTCTTAGGAGAGACTGTGCAGCTTCGCAGTGGTTGAGATTCAGTTGAGTGCATCTCATGCTGATCTCTTCGACAGGGCGCTCCTAAACAGGGGGCATCTACCGCTGCCGGCCACGTGCTTCCAATCGGCGCTCTTTCCCTTGCAGAGCATGCACTGTGGCTCCGAGTCGCAGTCTTTTGCTATGTGGTCCTCCTTACCACATCTCCTGCACAGCTTTGATCTTCGATCTCGCTCCTGCACTGCCGTGCCATGTGCCCGAATTCGAGGCATCGGAAGCACTTGGTGACGCTGACCCGTTCGCGGAGTCTGCATCTTACCCAGCCTACCCTCAGCACTCCCAGCTTAAGCGCCTTCTGAGCGCTCTCCGCTGGTAGCCTGATTGTGGCCGTCTGCGTTCCTCCGTATGCCTTCCGCAGTTGGATGTCCTCTGTGGTGAACTCCGTGGGGTTACCTGGCTTCTCATGCCTCCATTATATCCTCCCTGGTGGTGATCTCGTCGAGGTCCCTGCATTCGAGACTCACCCGATGCGTCAGGGTACGGACATCCGCCTGCTCACCCAGCGTCCCAACTACTAGGCTCCTGAAAGTCTCAGTCTCCTGTCCCGACTTATTGAGCTGCAGCAGAGCTCTCCTTTTTGTGTCCTCCTTATCTGGCGACCGCGTCTCCGAGTCCGTGAGGGTTTCGTCCGTCTTCACTTTACGCAGTATATCAGCGTAGCTGGTTTCGCCTTTCGTGGAAACGATGATGGCATCCGGTCTCGTCTCTCACGGAGCTCCAGGCGGCTTTCCGTCTTCTTCCTTCTGCGTCGGTTCGACACGGTCTGGAAAGGGATTCCGCGGGCGCTCGTCCCGTTTCGATGGGGGCGTCGTTTCCGACTGCTACGCCTGGCATGGTCTGTGCTTCCACTGATGCCTTGGTTCTCTCGTCCGAGGTGTTGGCGCACCTGCAGCCTGCTTCCTCTTTGGCTCCGGAGCCGTCTAGACGGGGATGTCTGAGGGACTGGTGTGTCCTGATCACAGCCTTAGCTCCTGTCATGTAGCTGGATGGCTACCAGCTCATACAGCACCCGTATGCTCTCGATCGAGTCCCTCATAGGCTGGTGTATCGAGCGCCTCTTCCCATGTCGGCACTCCACAGCTGCGTGATTCTCTTCCGAGATCGCGCATGCTGTGCTGCCTCCGAGCTGGCGTCCTGAGTCCGGATCCGTGCGTGCCGGCGGGGCGCGTCAGTCCGTTCGCCAGTGGGGTCCTCGCCATTTGTTGCTTTTGTAAAGCCGCTACCTTCCTTCGTATTTGGTGTGGTTGTGCTCATTTTGTTGGGTACCAACTCATGAGCCGTTGTCTGTCCGTTGTACAGTCGCGTTTTGATCCCATGGTTGTCTATGCAGCAGGGAGGCCATGCGAGGGTTGACTCTCGCCCTTATGGGGTCGGGAGTTCAGAGCCGGACCGCGCTAGTCAGGAGTGACTCAACTGAGCCGTACGTCCAACTTAATGGCGACGAAACAGGAGCGTACTTGAGTTTGCCATTTTTCACGGGACGGGGCAGAGCAGCATTAGCCTAGCAGCCATTTCGGCAGGATTTCACTCGCGTACTAGGTGCTAGAATACGACTTCCGTCAGCCCAGGGGTCGTCAGGTATGAAAGGGGGGGTCCAGTTCCGACCTGCTTTACTGGTCTCGCTTAGTCGCCTCTCTATTAGCTGGTACTGTGCGCCTATCCGGGGATACCTGGAGTGCGGCGGTACGGCTGCTTTGTGCTGTGGGAGGAATCGACCGCTATTCCAGTTAATGGAATTCAGGGTCTTTCCGCCTACTGGACCTATCCGGCATAACACCCGGCTCTAGCGCCCATACGACAGCTTGACGTGCTGTGGTGGTATTCTATTTCCCGCTCACCACACGGGTGACTACACATATATGTAGGTATTTACATTTGTACATATGTATGTATGTACATTTGTCTAAGCAGAAATCGACAGGACCATTTGCTTTGCCAAACTTATTCGCTAGCTATATTTTCTCTGCATATTTAGTGTGCTTTATTCAGCCAAAAATTAAAGCAATTTTGCTCAGAATTCTTTAACAAAAAATTAGCCCAATTTCCAGGGGAATTCTTTTAAATGGTAATTTTTATTTTCCGACCAAAATTCGTCGTGTTTTTTTTTTGTATTCTCATAGCATACGCTTTCCGGCCGACTGAATAAGCAGATTTGAGCTTTAACATTTCCATCACGTTTCGCCCGGCAACGTGCAGCTTGATAAGCTGGAAATGAAAAATAAAGCGGAAATCAAATTATCAGCCATAAAGTGGAGCCACACGAAAGCAGTCTACGGCGAAGCCCAAAACGAAAAAATAAAATAAATTTATATCGATTCTAAAAGCGAACTTGAACCAAACCGAAACGCAATCTGAATTTATGCTGCTCTCATAAACTCACATCCAGGCACAATATTATTTTTTTATTAACTTGACCTTTGGTGTAGTGTGCTGTGTGTTGTGTGGGGAATCCACTAAAGCTATTGGGGTGAAGGCAGTAGAGCCCCAGGCAGCAGATGCTTCCAGTCAAAAAGATAAAGTCAAGCCAAAGGGGATATTGTTCTTGTATCAAGGCTGTCAGCTGGACGTAAAAGATCTCCGCAGCTAACTATGTTGTATAACAAGCTGAAAGCTGAAATGTCAGAGCTTGCTCTACATGGCTACCCACACACACATGTACACCCACACAGTGCACCCCCACACCCCACCCACTACACACAAAAAGCATGCCACTTGTCTGGCGCAATAAATGTCATGGTCAATTTGACACAAAGATGTGTGAAAAACCAGAACGGATGAGGATGCTTTTAATGGAGTGGAGTGACTTGTTTCATTTTGGCTTTGAATGTTCGTTTTTTTTTTGTGTTCCTTTCAACCGGCTCAATACATACAAATCCTTCCTGCACAACGACAAGGCACAGTTTTCATCTACATGTCTTACTCGTAGTTCCGCATGTCTTAGTTTGGCTCTCAAGCTAGTTTCGCACATGGACATTTTTCGCTGTCATCTCCTTGATACCATCCGGATCAAAAAAATACTTGATTGATTATGTGTCTAACCTATATAAATATATCAATATATATATATATTCTTTGTATTCTTTCTTCTTCTCTCTTTTGCGCGCTCTACTAACTCTGTAAAAAACCAAAAAAAAAAAACAATCAACTAATCTCTTTCTATGAATAAACCTAACTAACTTATATTTATGTACATGTAAAGTTTGCATACTGCACGGATATTGTAAGTCATAGGGAGAATCTGGCTAGAGCCGAAACCAATTTAAAATGTATAGAGACATAAAATACTATATAGAAAAGCTATATAGACTAGGTAGAATCGATCGCAGCCCGAGGGTATACTATATAAATGTTTCACTTAACTCTTGCAGACGATGCACAGCCTAAAATGCGTTTTAGCCTCTCACCACCGCCACAGAAAGCCATTAGCAGCGCCGCCAGCCTAACCTCCCCCAGCACCACCCCAAGCACCACCACCACCACCAACAAGAGTAGAGGCACCACCAACCACAACATGCTGACACGCAATGGAGGGGCCGGAGGAGGCGGAGTAGGCGCCTCCACTGCTGCGGCAGCCACCGATGAGGATGCTGCATCGGATTACAATCAATGGCTGCATGCCATGAAGCTGGTCGCCCGCCTGCCCGGTGGCACGCCACCCGAATTCCGGCGCAAGGTACTGTATCCCATTCAGCTGTCAGCTGTCCGGTTAGACTGATTGCATTGGCCATCATCTATCCCTACAGCTGTGGCTCTCGCTGGCGGACAAGTACCTCAAGTCGAAGAACGTGGACTGGACCAAGCAGCGGGAGAAGTGCTTCTGCGAGGAGTGGCGCGAGGATGACGAGGAGCTGGGCATACAAATCGTTAAGGTAAGAATCGGGAACACAGGACTGCACGGGCCAGGACTATTTTAAAGCCGATTTTCCCCGATTTACCAGGACCTGCATCGCACTGGCTCCAATTTGTGCACTGGCCCCGCGGGATCCATCAACCAGGCCAAGCTGAAACGCATTCTGCTTGGCTATGCCCGCTACAATCCCGAGGTGGGCTATTGCCAGGTGAGTGCTCCTCAAAGGCTCTTTGTCTGCTTTCTCCACTCAAGAATACTCTCATCCCTCCCACCTCTGTGTAGGGTTTCAACATGCTGGGCGCTCTGATACTGCAGGTCATGGACAAGGAGGAGGAGGAGTCCATGAAGGTCATGATCTATCTGGTTGAGGGCGTACTGCCGACGGGCTACTTCTACGGCTCAATGGGCGGCCTCCAGGCGGACATGGGCGTATTCCGCGAGCTGATGCAAACGCGTCTGCCGCGCCTTGCCAAGCACCTGCAGCGGCTGCAGGGGCCCGTGGAGAATGCCTACGAGCCGCCCTTGACCAATGTCTTCACCATGCAGTGGTTCCTCACCATGTTCTGCACCTGCCTGCCAATGTCCTGTGTGCTGCGCGTCTGGGATCTGGTGCTCATCGAGGGCAGCGATGTTCTCCTCCGCGTCGCCCTCGTTCTCTGGAGCCTCCTCGAAGAGTGAGTAGAGAGCCTTTCTGTCTCTGTCTGTGTCTCTGGGTTGGGTTGGGTTTCGGGGCTTTGCTTGGTTGGCTTTTTGGGTGGTTAAGTGCAACTGCAACCCGTTTCCCCCCGCAATTCATGGCACGAATTTGTGTCAAGGCTGCTGTTAGACATTTTGGTAAAACTTTTTCTCGCTTGCCAAATGCAATTTAGCAGTTTTGGTTCGTTTCTGGCCACCAGAAATTTTATGTTCTGTCATTTTGGAACTTTTTATGGTGCCTGTGGACAACAACAAGTAAACCAGATATCAACAAGGTTAGGAAATGCATAAAGAAACCTAGACATGGAGCTCAGCTAGCGCGGGGCTGTGGCATTTCAATGTCAAAGGGTTGAGCTATGAAATCCAAACGGAAGACTGTGGGAAAAGTTTCTTAATTGGGTGGAGAATGGAAAGGAAAGAAATGGTATCCAAGGTAGCTGCTAAGATGAGAGAATGCCAATGCTTGAATAGCGAAAACTTTATAGGAAAAACGAGAAGGAACGTGTGAGTCGCTTCTGGGGACGCGACTCTGCTTATGCCCGTACTCAGTCAGCATATACATTTTTGAGCATATAATTATTTAGAATCAAAAAAAAATAAAAATTTTACATTTTACATTTTTTAGCTATATCTGTTATCTACATCTACATATACTATGTATATTCTACATCTAACATGTATATTCGACATGTACCATTTAGATTCCACATCTCCTCCGCTAGGGGTTGCTCGCGCACTGAACGCGGCAGAGTGTGCGAGCGAGAAAGAAAATAAGTTGCGTTGTTGTTGGCAGGAGGGGGCAGGGGAAGCAACAGAAAATTAATTTCTTCATTCTGGCTATAATTATGATCCGATCTAGTTCAGATTTGGCAATCTAGTAGATATGGGCATTCTCTACGATGCTGCGTTTTTAGTTTTATCGTATCTTTAAAATTGTGCCTGCCACAGATATTCGTTCTTTCTGGGGGCGGAAGGGGGCGGGGCGAAATTTTGAAATACACTTGTAGCAGTGTGATATCACATGAGTCTAGAAACCAAATTTGGTTACCCTAACTCTTATAGTCTCTGAGATCCAGGCGCTTAACAAGACGGACGGACGGACGGACCGACAGACATGGCTATATCGACTCGGCTATTGATGCTGATCAAGAATATATATACTTTATGGGGTCGGAAAATTTTCCTTCTCTGCGTTACACACATCCACTTTTACCACAAATCTAATATACCCCTTAACTCTATTTTGAGTACGGGTATAAATAGAAATCTTAGAAGTCTAAAAAGGATTGGGAATTAAGTCTCTTCCTTACACCTTATACCTTCCAATAAAAATGCCTTTCTACTTATTTCAGACGCGTGCTCAGTGTCCGATCGGCCGATGAGTTCTATGGCAAAATGGGTTCCTATTCGAGTGAACTGCTTAACGGCCATTTGATCGATTCGAATGGACTGATCGAAAGAGTCGTCAAGCTAGGACCCATTGCAGATCTCAGGCAGCTGAGGGACAAGCATCTGTACAACATTGCCCCCCTGCGACACAAACAGGGACTGCAGTGAGTATAAACCAGAGATAGAAATGAAAACCACAGGATACAGAGCATTCCTTCATTGCAGACTGTACTACGATGACGAGGACACGCATTCGGATGAGGAGCGCATGGCGGTGGCCACCGTCTGGGGTCTGAACTGGGGCCGTCGCGGCTCCGTGGGACCGGCAGCGGGCAAGCAGCCAACGGAGCAGAAGGATCGCATGGCGCTGGACATTTCGCTGCTGAAGAAGCAGTACGATCGGCTGAGGGAGCGCCAGAAACAGGCCCATGTCATCCTGACCACGGCCTGCTCGACGGCAGCGCGTCAGGGAGCGGCACCCAACACTTCCCAGCCCTCGGTGGCAGTCAATCAGCTGCTCCTCGGCCGTCCGGCCATCATCACCAACAGGGGGAAGAGGGTGAGCGCTCCGCTGGGAGCCATACCGCCTGCCAGGAAGCCCTCCCTGCCCGCTGTGCTGCACACCCAACCCTCCACGGAGAAGCAGCTGCGACGCGGCGAGACTCTGCTGTGGCGGGACACGGACCCCACCCGCAGACGCCGCGACAGCCTCACCTGGAAGGAGATCAAAGCGGATCGGGCGGCCATGATGCGCGAGGGCGCCGAAAAGACGCTAAAGGCGCCGAAGCTGCGCTCGCGATTGGGCAAGAGCGACAGCTCCTCGTACAGCGAGGACAGCGATGGCGAGCAGGAGGTCGAACGCCCCGCCGCAGGCTCCGGCGGAGGCTGTGGTGGGTCCAGCACGGACACCAGTCTGTGCGACGACGACGACCCCAAGTCGACGGAGAAAAGTCCCAAGCAAAAGGCGAGGCTGGCGCGCAAGCTCAAAGAGAAGCCGCAGCTGACGACGGTATCGCGGGAGGCGAGCTTGGAGCGCCAGAGACCCAAGTCGTGGGCGCCCAGCTCCCATGAAATACCCTTCATGCTGATGGGCACGGAGAGCGGGGACGAGAAGGAGCCGGCCGCCAAAGGGGAGGCGGAAGTTGCAGTGGACAGTGCCACCGAAAGCGGCCGCCACGCCAGCAAGCTGGAGCCACTGCAGCTGCTGGTGGACTTGGAGATTCCGGGAATCACCAGCACCAGTCAGCTGTCGCCGATGCCGGACATGGCCAGCTATCTGGGCACGAGCTGCATCAGTCCGCTTCCAACGCCCCGGCCGATGTCCGTCGCTCCCGTGGGCATTGAGGCAGCAGCCGAAGAGGAGCAGGGCGTCGAGCCCACTGCCCGTGGGTTCGATGTCAGTGACGATGGCGTTACCAATCAGTATTTCGAGCGGGTCAACAGTGTGGAGCGGCCCAGCCGCCTCGAGCTGTCCTACTCCCTCAACGAAGAGGAAACGGACGCCCGAGCGGTGTACATGGAGCAGCGGGCTCAGGTGGAGGGTCAGAGCGGCGGGCAGGAGGCGAAGGCCACTTCTGCGCCTCAGCTGAGGGAGGAGCTGGTGGATGAGGCGGATGGCAAAGTGCCGCAGATCCGCGATGACAACATTCCCGGCGAAAACAAAGACGACTACAAGGAGGTGCTGAGCATGACGATAGAGTCGCACAAGCCGACCCGCCCCTCCGACAGCCACCAGTCTAAGCAATGCCAGCCGGAAGCGTCACGACCCGCGACGCAAGACGCTGACCAGATCCTCGACGATCGATATCGAAGAACGTTTCCAGGCGCTGGAGCATCGCTTCAGCCAGGAGCAGTCCTGTGATAAGCCCAAGTATATTCCCAGCACGGCCGCTTTGGAGGAGCGATTCGAGACGCTGGAGAAGCAGCTCAGTGCCGAGAAGCTGCGCAAGGAGCTGGAGGAAATGGAGGATCCCGAAGTGGGTGAAAAGTCCGAGCGTATTCCCTCAACAGCCGATCTCGAAACCCGTTTCAATGCCTTAACCAAGCAAATGAGTTCCAGCGAATCGAGTTCCAAGGTGCCCATCGAACTGGGTGATGCCGCGCAGTCCGGGGGCAGTGGCAGTGGCGCGAAAGAACAGCAGGACAGCGAGAAGACCAGCAAGCTGCACAGATCAGAGGACTCGCAATCAGAGGCAAAGGAAACAAGAGCAGCAACAACACCCAAAAGTGAAAGCAGCAAAGGAACGGAAAAGGAAGTCAAGGAAACGGAGCAGCCACGCCTTAGGAAACTGCCCTCGACAGCCGAGCTGGAGGATCGTTTCAATGCGCTGGAACGCAAGATGAGCGTACAGAAGAGTAGCCCTGCCAAGACAAAAAAGGAGCCACCCGACGAAGAGCAGGACAAGCAGGAACCAAAGGCCAGAAAAGAGACAGAGGTCTCAGCAAATGGGGAGGAGAAACCCAAAGAAAGCCTGGTCTCTAAGGGTGCAAAGGATTCCGAAGAAAGCGATAGGCAAACTGAAACGGCTAAAGAGAAGGACAAGACACCAACGAAGACCCCCGAAGAAAAAGAAACGTCTAGAAAAGTCCAAGCAGAACCAGCAGGAAAAGACAACGCCGACAAGTCAGTGGAAACAGAAGAGCTGAAAGCAACACAAACCAAAAAGCAGCCGGAACCCGAAAAGGTTGAAAACTCGCCCACAACGCAGCAGGAAATTCAGGAGGAACCTGTGAAGACTCCACGCAAGTCGCCACCATCCACCGAGGAGCTGGAGAAGCGGTTCAACGCGCTGGAGAAGCAGCTGAGCACAACCAACCTGGAGACAACCAAGGAAGCTGAGCAAACGAAATCCACAGCGAAAGATCAAAAGTCGACCAAGATGAGACTGCCGAAAGGGAAACAAGGATGAAAGTGGAGCGGGGCGAACCGAAGAAATCAGAGGGCGAAGTTCGAGCCGAGGAGAAGCGCAAGAGTTTCGAGGAGAGATGCAAGAGTGCCAGCAAGACATTGGAAGCCAAGGAAGAAGATGTGAAAATGGACGAAACTCCATCAAAGAAGGCGGAAGAATCTACAACAAGGAATATTAAGGAATCTCCCGGCACTAAAATGGAAAATACTCAATCAAAAAACACTGAGGAAACCGAACAGAAAGATCTCAGTAAGCGACGAGCGTCGGAGCCGCCCTCCACGGAGGATCTGGAAAAGCGCTACGAAACCCTGAAACGCCGCATGAGCAGCAAGAATCAATTTTCCACTCAAAGCGAGACCGTGAATCAAGCTCTCGAACGGATCGAGCAGGAGGTCATCTCCGAGAGCGGCGAGGACCGAGCGGGGGAGAAGAAGAAACAGCCGCCGACCACGGAGGATTTGGAGAGTCGCTTTGAGGCGCTGCATGGCAAGGACAAGGCGGAGACCAAGACCAAGCCCAAGACCCAGCCCAAGCTGGTGGATGTAGCCATTGAGGCGCATATACCTGAACCGCCGCCACCTCCTCCATTGCCACCCGCAGAGCTCAGGATACTGGCGGCGCCCACACTGCACCAGCAGCAGGCACTCATCGAAGAGCTGCAGAGCAAAATGCAGGGACAATCGCCGGGAGAGGAGAACCTCAAGCCCAGCCAGATCAATCCGCAGCGAAGGCGACAGCAGCAGCAGGAACAGCAGCAGCAACGACAACGGCAGCTGCAACTGCAACAGCGACCCACAACGATGGGCGATGAGACCTCGGAAGCACCTGCAAACACGGCTTACTACAGATCGGGAAATTATGAACCCTGGCAGCAGCGAACGGTTCGTCGTTTCTCCGATTTGCCCTCCAGGGCCGATCTGGAAAACCGATTACAATTCCTGGAGAAGCAATTGTATAAGAAATTCTACAAGCAGCGCTGTGCAAGTGATTCCGAAGTTGCATCGAAGGCCAATGTCCGCGTGTGCACTGATGATGGGCCCAGCACATCGCGCCAGGCACTGGCCGAAGGCCACCTGGAGCAGCGTGTCCTGGCCCTGGAGAAGCAGCTCAGCGAGAACAGTCTCAAGTTGCTGGAGGCCATGCGCGAGAAGTCATCGGCGGCGGCAGTGGCGGCTGTGGCTGCCACCCACAGCGATGACAGCGGCTCGCCGCGTCGGCTTAGCACGGACACCATCGATGCGACCACCGGCAAGGAGCTGGTGCGATACACGCAGAACTTTGGCGAGCTGGAGGATGTGGACTCGCACAAGCCCATCAACATCAGCATCAACATCAAAATGACGGTCAACAAGGACACCGAGCGCAAGAGGAGCGAGTCCAAGCCCACCACAGAGGACCTTGCACGACGTCTGGAGCAGCTGGAGGCGCAGTTGGTGGAGGAGCGAGCCAAGAACGGCACCGTCACCCTCATCCCAGAGAATGAAACTCTGGAAGAGCCGCAGACGGATAAACCCGATGAGAGTGAAGCCTCCAGAAAGCAGGAAAAGGATTGCCACAATCAGAATGTCAAAAGCGATGAGACGGTAAGATTGGAGGACTCCCCGCCAAAGAGCATTGAGCCCGAGACGGTGAAGGAGACCAAGACCCTGGAGAATGAGGAGATAGCCCTGGCCCGGGCCAAAGAGGTAGATATCGATAAGCCAGCTAATGAGGATCCACAATCCGAGGTACAAGCAGCGAATACCAAACAGGAAGATGTAATCAAACCCAAAGATGGTAAGGAACCTCCCACCTCTCCCAAAGCAATCGAACCCCTTCTAGCTGAGAAAGAAAAACCCAAAATCGAAGAAACTAAAGCAACGCCAAGCGGTTCAGGCGAGGAATCCTCCAATCAGCTGCCAGAGAAGACCCCAACTAGCAGCGACTCCTCCAAGGAAATGCCAGACAAAGTGGTCAGCAAGGACAGCGATATTGGTGGACCCGTGGAGGGCAACAACAAGACTGTTGTGCTCCCTACGGACAGTGAGCCCAAAGCTTCGCGGCTGAGGCGCCTGACCCGAGCCAACACCGAAGAGCTCGAAGATCTCTTTCAGGCGCTGGAAAAGCAGCTCAGCGAACGGAATTTAGTCAAGTCTGAAGATGGTCGCCTGATACGCGCTGACAGCAAGCCATCCACCGAGCAAGTGGAGCAGGCTCAGGCCATTACCGATCTGACCAAAGAGATCGAAGATTTCACCAGTGGAAAGCCAGAAGAAAAGCTGGAAAAGGAGCCCAAAGAAGACAAGTTGGAGGCAGAAGAGGTAGAAGAGCCGAACGACTATGACTGGGGACCCAATCCGGTCAAGCATCACCTGAAGCGAAAAACTGTCTACTTGCCCTCGACGAAGGAGCTGGTGGCACGATTCCGTTCGCTTGAGCGGCAAATCAAGCTGCTCGAGGACGTGGAAAAGATCGATGTGGAGCAGCGCTTGAAGGAAATCGAACGCAAGATCAAGCTGCAGTACTCGCTCTCCCACGAGAAGGACCTCAACAAGTATCTGGAACTGTGCGAGGGCAAGGGCCTGGACGAGCTCGAAGTGGAGGAAACACCAACCAAGGACGAGCCACCTTCAACAGCCAACCAACGTTCGCGTAGTCCTGCACGGAAGGTGGCCACCAAATCGCCATACACTTCTCCGTCGCGCAAGGCAGCCACCAGGTCGCCGTACACTTCTCCGTCGCGCAAGGCAGCCAGCAGCAAGTCGCCGTATGCGTCGCCGTACACATCGCCGTACACCTCACCATCTCGTCAGCGTCAGAAGACGCCGCACTCGTCGCCGACGCGAGTCGCCCCCGAAAAGAAGCTGAAACGGAGCCCCTACACCTCGCCAGTACGCCGCCAGCCGCATCCCAATGATCTGCCCATCTCCGATGACCTGGAGTTCAAGTATCGAGTGCTCGATCTGGTGCGGTCCAAGTCGAAGGAGAATCTGGCCAGGCGCATGAACGATCCCAATCGGAAGCCAGCCATTCATCCACTCGAAATGCTGCTGGATCCGAGTCCCGATGGCAGCGAAATACCCTCCACCGGGGAGCTGGAGCATCGCATTCGCCTGCTGGACGAGAAGCTCAGGTCACCTGTACGCCCCTCCCGACACAAGTCACGCTCCCGCTCCCCCACCATCGAGGACATGAAGCGCAAGAAGATGCTGGAGGAGCAGCAACCCCGCACGCCGGTGCACAATCTGGAGCGTCTAGTCAGCTCTCCGGGCAGGCCAGAACCGCCCACGGCTGAGGAGCTGGACGTGCGCATGCGGGCCCTAGAGCAGGAGCATACCTTCGACTTCAAAACACAAAAGGACTACAAGGCCTTCAACCAAAAGCTCAAGGACGTCATATCGCCCTCGATCTCGTTCGAGGAGTTCAAGGCGGCCAAGTCGCGCGAACAGAGTCCTCGCCGAGGGGGTGCCACGACGCCAAAGTCGGCGCTGCGACGCGATGACCCCGATGATTATCGACGCGAGGACACACACACGCACTATCGACCCACCAGTCCCAAGGTGATACGCTTCCGGGACGAGGACGAGGACTACTTTGAGGAGGCGCCGCGCCCAAAGTCGCGACAGTCCAGCGAACGAATGGTGGGCACCACAAATGAGGTTATGGAATGTTTATCGGAGAATACTAAAATTCTTCAACGTATTCTTAAGAAGACTCTTGCAGATCAGCCTCAGCCATCAAGCATGCGCAGCTACAGCAGCAGCTCAGCAGAGGGTCTAGACGCCCTTGGCAGTCGCCTGATGAGGGTAAGTCCGAGTCCGAGTCCGAGTCCTAGTCTCTAGTCGCCGGGAACGTTGATTGTATATTTTTAGAGATATTCTATTTTAAATACTCTATTTAGATGTATTATTCATATTTAGTCAGTTAAAGATTAGAACTAAAAATTGTATCCCTTGTAGGAAACCTCTCCCATCACCCGTACTGGCACGCACACGGGCGTGCCGCTGCGGACAACGGGCGAGAACATCAACGATCGGCTGAGCTCCATCAAGAACAGCATCAAGTCCATTGACACGCTGTGCGAGGAGAAACCTTACCAGAAGGAGAAGTGCCAGCGGTACATTGACTCGCTGTTCGCCGACTCGCTGCACTTTGCCAGCAAGAAGAGTTCCGTGGAGGATCTTGCGCACAGTCGCAGCGAGAGTCGGGGCAGGACCATGCAGCGGTCGAGCGATTATACGCCAGCTATAAGGATAACGTCGGAGCATCGTTCGCTGGGCTCGGCAGAGTCGCGGCGCTCGTTGAGTCCCCTGGGCAGGGACGTGAGTCCGCTGCAGCATCATCGCTCGCACAGGGACATCAGCAGGGATATGTCGCCGCGCAGGAGACGCGACCAGGAGGAGCGCGAGGAGCGCGAGAGCAGTAGGGTAAGACGTGATAATATGTTGCCAAATTATTTTGCTGATAATCGTAGCGAACTAAGTAGCGGGAGTAGTTTAACCAAGTTTCATAAAGTAGATAGACAACTAGAAGAGACGTGCGCCAAGTACGCGGACGACAGACGCTCGGCCTGCAGAACACCGTTGAGCTCGCCATACGAGACCCAGACCCGATCCACAGCCACACGGCACACCACCAACTACAACTACAATGCCACCACCACCACCACAACAACAGCAACATCCACAGGTAGCACAGTAACAGGAACAGCAACGGCAACGGCCATCGATAGTTTCCCCAGGCCCGTGTCGCCCTACCGACAGCCCTACGATCCGTACAGGCGTCCGAATGCCCCTGCTCCTAGTCCTGCCTACCAGCCAGCCAAGCTGGAGATTCGCCACACCACGGTGACCTCGACCTTCTATGATCGCTTCCTTACGGAGAAACAAATCGAGAAACAGACCCTCTCCCGTCCGCCCAGCCGTTCGCCGGTGGTGTCGCCATCGATCACCGCCAAGAGCTATAGCGATCTCTACCAGTCGATCTCCGCCACGAGCAGCACCTCCATCCCCATTACCACCACTGGCATCACCTCATACATGTCCAGCAGCTATGCGGGTCCCTCATTCTCCCTGCCCGGCGGCAGCAATTACTCATATCTCAGCACGCACACGGCCGCATCCGGATCCGGCAAATCTCTCTCGCCTGGCGGCAGCACAACATCCGCTACAGCCACCACGACATCGACCTCCACCTCTTTTGTGCCCTACAACTTCTCCAGCTCCTTGGGCAGTCGTTTAAGCGAACCCACTACCAGTTCCAGTGCCCCTGGCGTGACCACTGCGACGAGCTCGCTGACATACTCCACTGGGGTGTACAATCCAATGATGTCGTTCACATTGCGGGAGCCCTTGACCAGCAGCTCCCTGGGCGGGACGGGTACTGCTGCTGGTACTGGCACCTCCTCTCTGCTCGGTCAATATCAGTTTAAGAGTAGCTTCAGCTCGGGCTATACCCCCAAGACGCCAACTGAACAGGACAAGCCATAGAGAGAGAGAGAGAGAGACGCACCCTTCAATTGATCGTGAACCAAAGGTTGTCATTGACATACTCTACCACTGACACACAAACACACACTTACACACACACCTAACCTCAGTCCGCATAAAGACCATTTACAGTCTCAACTGTGCAGCTGTTCGCACTAAAAATCAAAACAGATCAAGCTCAAATTGAATACTTTACGAGTAAATATTAAAAACATCCGAAGAGACGTAAGGTAACACACCACAAGCAATATAAACATACAATAATACACATCAAATATACACACACACACACACTACACATACATACATATATCTACATACAATATATATATATATATATATATATATACAAAAGAAACTATGAAAATCCGATATTTACTCTTTCACAAAATGTTAAGGCGAAACTTTAGCACCAAACCATTTTGGCTTCTTGCAACTTACCTCATCTACATTGACAGCACCAGGCAACCAGCAACTGATCATAACTTTAGCAAAGATTTTTTATACAATCTATCTACTATATATATCTCTACATAGTATACATATATACAACAAAGAAAATATGCCTACCTATTGGAATTACATACGAGTACTACATACGTACATACATACATATAACCAAAATGTGAAGAGGGCAAAATGTTACGAGTATTACAGCATCTTTTTTCAGCGTTAAACAAGTTTAGCTAATTCATTTAATCTTTAATGAAATGTTTCTGAAACACTCAATTAAACTTAAACTTAAACCTAAACCTAAACCTTAACTTTTCTTAAATATTGTCTAACAAATACAGAATATACCACATATACACTAGCCAATCAAGAACAAAACCAAAACAAACAAAGTTTATGCAACGGTGTAAAACTCTGAATGCATTTTTGGGCCGAGTTAGTCGTGGATGAAAAACACACAAACAAACAAATAAAACATTAATCAAATAATGTTAACTGACTGACACGAGCCGTAATATTAGTTTACCAACATTGTTATATATACACACATATATGTATATTGTATGTATGTACCTATACCGATTGCGAATGATACATATATATATGTATATATTATATTGAATCATTTGTATATCGGTTGCAGTTGTTGAATTTCAGTAATGAAAATATCTTCAGTTTGAGTTGGAGTCCGAGTAATACGCAAATAAACCGGCATGCAAAAAACGGAAACAATTATCTCACCAGGCAAAGGAACCGAAAGTTATTCAAAACGATTATTAAAATTTTATGAAAAATATATATATATCGATTTGGGATCTGTGCTCCCCGCCCAACGACCTTGGGCATAAATATTATTATGATGAAATGCAATTGTTAAGTAGGCAAAACCCAAACCAAGAACGGCTTCAGTTTACACAAGTACAAGATTATACATACTACCCAAAAAATTTAATATTAATGAATGTTTTTGTTTTTAGTTTTAAAATTTTGATTACTTTTCTTGTTGTTGAATCATTTTTATGTTGATGTTCGAAATTTAACTAGACACAAGAGAATTCGACCTAATGAAAATATTTTTATTAAAAATTGTTAAAGAGTTTTAAGTTTTGAAATAAAATTAAAAAAAAAAATAAAACATAAAAATACGAGCGCGTAATTTAATCTGGGGAGAGGAGATTGCTGCCCATCATTTCCCTTGATAAGAGCCATCTAGTCGCTATCAGCAGAAATGGGAGAATCTTTCCAGCGTGGAACTCAGTCATCGATTGAAATCCGCCTGTCGTGGACGTGCCTGTGCCCGAGTCTACATTCTGTCCGAACCATGCAACGAGTTTTGGGAGCGAGCAGTCGCAGCCTGCTGCTGCTGAGGGGCCAGCATCGCTATCTGGCCACCACGCCCGTGGAGGAGGTGCTCTTTCCCACAAAATCCGACTTTCCCAGCCGCCACATAGGTCCACGCAAGACGGACGTGGTGGCCATGCTGGACACACTGGGCTACAAGGTGAGCGCGCAGCCACAATCAGAGGTCAATCCACGTGCCAATCCCCATCTCAATTCTCTTTAGTCGCTGGCCGAACTTACCGAGAAGGCCGTGCCCCAGAGCATCCAGCTGAAGAGGGACCTGAATCTGGACAAACCTCTGAGTGAGTAGTGGAAAACAGATCCGAAAATAGCTGTCAAAACACTAGTGTGGGGGCACCGGACCCGGGACCCCCTGGCGTGTTTCAGTGGCGCGCTGATAAGCCAGCGATAAGCCAGGTTCAGAGAGGTCCGACTTATCGCTGCTGTTGCCCCCGTCTACTACATTGCTGCTGCCCTCCGTCTGGCTGACAACAATTTTCCACTCCGCATTGCAGACGAGCACGAGCTGATCCGTCGCATACGCGACATTTCGCTGAAGAACCAGCTGTGGCGCTCCTACATCGGCATGGGCTACCACAACTGCCATGTCCCCCACACCATTCTACGCAACATGTTCGAGAATCCCGGCTGGACCACCCAGTACACTCCCTACCAGCCGGAGATCGCCCAGGGCCGTCTCGAGTCCCTGCTCAACTATCAGACGCTTGTCTCGGACCTGACCGGTCTGGATGTGGCAAATGCCTCGCTGCTGGACGAGGGCACGGCCGCTGCTGAGGCCATGTGCCTCTCCACGCGCCACAACAAGCGAAAGAAGCTCTACCTGTCCAACCGCGTGCATCCGCAGACCTTGGCCGTCGTCCAAACGCGAGCAGAAGCCCTGGAGCTGGAGATTGTGGTGGGTCCCATCGAGCAGGCGGATCTGCCGAGTCGAGAGCTGGCTGGCATTCTGCTGCAGTATCCCGACACATATGGCGACGTCAAGGACTTTGAGAATATTGCTTCGCTGGCAAAGAAGAACGGGGTATGGCAAAACATACACACAGATTTTTCGAGCTCCAAGTAGCTAAGCCGCGTTCCTGCATTCCTACTCATTCTAGACGCTCGTCGTGGTGGCCACAGATCTGCTAGCGCTGACCCTGCTCCGACCACCGGCTGAATTTGGGGCTGACATAGCGATCGGCACCTCTCAGCGTCTGGGCGTGCCCCTCGGCTATGGCGGTCCCCATGCTGGATTCTTTGCCTGCAAGCAGAGTCTGGTGCGGCTGATGCCGGGCCGCATGATTGGCGTGACCCGCGACATGGACGGCAACGATGCCTACCGCCTGGCACTGCAGACCAGGGAGCAGCACATCCGGCGGGACAAGGCCACCAGCAACATCTGCACGGCTCAGGCACTGCTGGCCAATATGTCCGCCATGTACGCCATCTATCACGGGCCGGAGGGACTCAAGGCCATGGCCAATCGAATCCATCACTTCACCCTGACCCTGCAGACGGGTCTGCAGCAGGTCGGACACGAGGTGGTCAACAAGAACTTCTTCGACACGCTCCATGTGAAGCTATCCGGGAGCCTCTCTGTCGAGGATCTCAAAGAGCGAGCCGAGCACAAGCGCATTAATCTGCGTTACCTGGCTGATGGAACGGTCGGTGTGGCCCTGGATGAGACAGTCAGTGTCGAGGATGTGGACGATCTCCTGTGGGTGTTCAAGGCAGAGACAACGGTGGAGCATCTCCTGGCCCGCCGGGATGTACTGAAGAACTCCATCGAGAGCTCAAAGTTCCTGCGTACGTCCCCCTACCTGCAGCATCCCATCTTCCACAGCTATCACAGGTAAGCTTGAACGACTAGAAGCCCATCCTCTCCACTGATTCCCATTCCTGATCCCGTGCTTAAGTGAATCACGGATGGTGCGCTACATGAAGAAGCTGGAGAACAAGGACATCTCGCTGGTCCATTCGATGATACCGCTGGGCTCGTGCACCATGAAACTGAACGCCACCACGGAGATGATGCCCTGCTCCTTCCGCCACTTCACCGACATTCATCCCTTTGCTCCGGTGGATCAGGCCCAAGGCTTCCACCAGATGTTCAACGAACTGGAGCGCGATCTGTGCGAGATCACTGGCTACGACAGAATCTCCTTCCAGCCCAACTCGGGGCACAGGGAGAGTACGCCGGCCTGCGAGCCATTCGCAGCTATCATGAGCACCGCAACGAGGGACACCGCAATATCTGTCTGATTCCCATCTCCGCTCATGGCACGAATCCTGCCTCAGCCCAGATGGCCGGCATGAAAGTGGAGCCCATACGCATCCTGTCCAACGGCTCCATTGATATGACGCATTTGCGGGCCAAGGCCGAGGAGCACGCCCACGAGCTGTCCTGCCTGATGATCACCTACCCTTCGACAATGGGAGTTTTCGAGGAGACAGTGGCAGAAATCTGCACCTTGATCCACAAGCACGGCGGACAGGTCTACCTAGATGGAGCGAACATGAACGCCCAGGTCGGTCTTTGCCGGCCCGGCGACTACGGCAGCGACGTTTCCCATTTAAATCTACACAAGACCTTCTGCATTCCTCATGGAGGCGGCGGTCCTGGCATGGGTCCAATTGGCGTGAAAGCCCATCTGGCGCCCTATCTGCCCGGCCATCCCGTTATCAGCCCGCTGAGCAGCGAGGAGCACAGCTTCGGGGTTGTTTCCGCGGCTCCGTTTGGCAGCTCCGCAATTCTGCCCATTTCCTGGTCCTACATCAAACTGATGGGCAGCCGGGGTCTGAAACGCGCCACCCAGGTGGCCATTCTCAATGCCAACTACATGTCAAAGCGTCTGGAGCAACACTACAAGACGCTCTACAAGTCTCCGAGCTCAGATCTGGTGGCCCACGAGTTCATCCTGGATATCCGCGACCTGAAAAAGGCGGCCAACATCGAGGCCGTGGACGTGGCCAAGCGGCTAATGGACTACGGCTTCCATGCCCCGACCATGTCCTGGCCCGTTGCCGGCACTCTGATGATCGAGCCAACCGAGTCCGAGGACAAGGAAGAGCTGGATCGCTTCTGTGATGCCATGATATCCATTCGCGAGGAGATTGCCGAGATCGAGGCTGGCCGCATGGACAGGGCGGTCAATCCCCTGAAGATGTCGCCCCACACCCAATCCCAGGTCATCTCCGACAAATGGGATAGGCCGTATACACGCGAACAGGCCGCATTCCCAGCGGTAAGCTCTTCAGTATAGAAACTTATGTAGTTTTCTTTTTAAATTATATGAATTTTTGTGTTTCAGATCTTCGTTAAGCCCGATGCAAAGATTTGGCCCACTGTCGGAAGAATCGATGATGCCTATGGCGACAAGCATTTGGTGTGCACTTGTCCACCCATATTGCCTGATCTATGAGTTACACTAAACCTAAAACGAAATTCACACTTTTATACGAAACCATATACATATATATATGTATATAAAACAAAGTCGTATTAGTTCGACCACTTTCAACTCGAGAACGGCTTGACCGATTTTCTTGGTTTTTCGATTTTTATACCTGTACTCAAGGGATATATTTTGTGGTAAAAGTGGATGTGTGCAACGCAGAGAAGGAAACGTTTCCGACCCTGTAAAGTAGCCGTAAAGTAGCCGACCCGTAGCCGAGTCGATATAGCCATAGCCATATAGTCAGAAACTAAACGAGAAGGAACGTGAGAGTCGCTTCTGGGGACGCGACTCTACTTATACCCGTACTCAGTCAGTATATACATTTTTGAGCTTATGATTTTCTAGAATTTCAGAATTAAAAAAAAAATTTTTACATTTTTTTGCTACATCAGTTATCTACATCTACAATGTATATTCTACATCTAACATGTAGATTCGACATGTACCATTTAAATTCTACATCTCCTCCGCTAGGGGTTGCTCGAGCACTGAACACGGCAGAGTGTGCGAGCGAGAAAGAGAATCAGTAGCGTCAGCAGCGCTGGAGAAGGAGAAGGAGAGGGAACCAACAGAAAATTAATTTCTTCATTCTGGCTATAATTATGATCCGATCTGATTCAGATTCGGCAATCTGGTAGATATGATCATTCTCTACGATACTGCGTTTTTGTGCCTGCCACAGATTTTCGTCCTTTGTGGGGGCGGAAGGTGGCGGGGCGAAATTTTGAAATACACTTGTAGCAGTGTGATATCACATGAGTCTGGAAACCAAATTTGGTTACCCTAGCTCTTATAGTCTCTGAGATCCAGGCGCTCAACAAGACGGACGGACGGACGGACAGACAGACATGGCTATATCGACTCGGCTATTGATGCTGATCAAGAATATATATACTTTATGTGGTCGGAAACGTTTCCTTCTCTGCGTTACACACATCCACTTTTTCCACAAATCTAATATACCCCTTAACTCTTTTTTGAGTACGGGTATAAAAATAGTCCGTGGAGGGAGGAAATTCTCCGAATCTCTCCAGCCTTTAGCTGTTCTCCAGTCTAAAAGGCATTCTATCTAGGGCCAATGAAAGAAATTAAATTCCCTTTTACCAATAAATACTGAAAGTGTACCTAAATTTCAACCTTTTTCATTGGTTGGTGATGATTATTTTGAACGTAGATTCATTGTTGCGTTACCGTAAGATACATTTGATTTGTATGGGAAAAAATTCAGCAACATGCAACTTTGGGACGGAATGAGCAACAATCTGCATACCTTGGGAAAATGGATATTATCGACTTGAGATATTGTTTGTTATTTAGGGCTCTAATTAATGCAAAAACTACTCAGCCTCTGTTTTAAAGATATTAACGAAATTTTGCAGCTCACGGGTTCCAATAATAGGTATCAGAACCGGGATAAATGTATTTATAAAAGACAAAACATATTCATTAATGGGTAAAAAACATCTCAATCTAAGAAAAATGCATTATTAATGTTTCTGTGGAGCTTGGAACAACAAATTTAACAGCAATTAACGGAAATAGGGTATATAAAAGCCATACGCATGGATGAATATTGGTTGACCAGCAACACTGACGTCACATTTAGTCAACATTTACGTTTTATGCTTTGGCCGTTTTTGTTTGAACCTTGTTATGTAAAAAATCCAATGAAAAAGAGTTCTGAAAACTAGCCAATCCTGAACAAAATTTATTGAGGAATTGGATCAAATTACTTGTTTAGGGCTGAGAGGGCCAACTATCTAGTAATGTTAAATGGAATATCAAAATCGAGGAATATCAGCGTTGAATGTTTTGAAAAAAACAAAAACAAACAGCAAAATATCGATACTATCGATAGTGGCTCACAATTTAAACGCAGAAATGAGTCCGGAGAGCGTTTTGAGTGATCTCTTTCGACTGGGTCATGGCAAGGTATGGCCCCAGTATTAAGACGGCCAAACTCTTTTTAAGGGCCTCGTAAGGACCTCACCCTAGCCCCGATGGACTAAATATACAATGTTTGCGCGAAAGCACAAAATCCCGCATGGTGAGTTATGTGGTGAGGTGGGCATTTTTCTTGAAAGCTCTGAATTTTGTGACGTCATACGTCACACACCTTGCGGCACCTCTATTAAAAAGTGTGCTTCGAAACAATTGTTTTTTGAGTTGTTCGCAGAAAAAACATCGATGCTGAACATTTTTGGGAGCATATACTATCGATGTTACATCGATGTTTTTTCCAGCTCTATTAAAAAGTGTGCTTGGAAACAATTTTTAGTTTTTCGAGTTGTTTAATCAATATTCACGCTTGACATCACATTGTGCTGGTGAAAAATAGCAACTATCAGAGCCGGAATATACAAAGCAAAATGAAAATCGAGGAAGTAAAGAGCACTGTGCGCACACAGCGCATTGCCGCCCACAGCCACGTGAAGGGCCTCGGTCTGGATGAAGCCGGCACGGCCTTGCAGAGTGCCGCCGGCCTGGTGGGCCAGAAGGCTGCCCGCGAGGCGGCTGGCATAGTTGTGGATCTGATCAAGTCAAAGAAGATGGCCGGACGTGCTCTTCTCCTGGCCGGGCCACCCGGCACCGGAAAGACTGCGATTGCCCTGGCCATAGCCCAGGAGCTGGGAAACAAGGTGCCCTTCTGTCCGATGGTTGGCTCCGAGGTGTTCAGCAATGAGATCAAGAAGACGGAGGTGCTCATGGAGAACTTCCGCCGCTCCATTGGTCTGCGCATTCGCGAGACCAAGGAGGTCTACGAGGGCGAAGTGACGGAGCTGACCCCCGTGGAGACGGAGAATCCAATGGGCGGCTACGGCAAGACCATCAGCAACGTAGTGATTGGCCTCAAGACTGCCAAGGGCACCAAGCAGCTGAAGCTGGACCCCAGCATCTTCGATGCCCTGCAGAAGGAGAAGGTTGAGGTGGGCGATGTCATCTACATTGAGGCCAATAGCGGTGCCGTGAAGCGTCAGGGGCGCAGCGACACTTTTGCCACAGAGTTCGACCTCGAGACCGAGGAGTATGTGCCCCTGCCCAAGGGCGATGTCCACAAGAAGAAGGAGGTCATACAGGATGTGACCCTGCACGATTTGGATACGGCCAATGCCCGTCCCCAGGGCGGCCAGGACGTGCTCTCGATGATGGGGCAGCTAATGAAGCCCAAGAAGACCGAAATTACAGGTGAGTAATGAGTAATGGATTGGATGTACATAAATGAATGTAATCCCTCGCTTTCTGTATGCAGATAAATTGCGCATGGAGATCAACAAGGTGGTCAACAAATACATCGATCAGGGCATTGCCGAGCTGGTGCCTGGAGTTCTGTTCATCGATGAGATTCACATGCTGGATCTGGAGACTTTCACCTATCTACACAAGTCCCTGGAGTCGCCGATTGCGCCCATTGTGATCTTTGCCACCAATCGTGGTCGCTGCGTCATTCGGTGAGTGTGCCGCTCTGTCCCATATTGGTTGTCCACGATAATAACCTTCCCTGCAGTGGCACCACCGACATTGTCTCGCCCCATGGCATTCCTTTGGATCTGCTCGATCGCTTGCTGATCATCCGCACTCTGCTCTACTCCACCTCGGACATGGAGCAGATCATCAAGTTACGCGCCCAGACCGAGGGCCTGCAGCTGGAAGACCCAGCCTTTGCACGCCTCAGCGAGATTGGAACCAGCTCGACGCTGCGCTATGCCGTCCAGCTGCTGACGCCGGCCCATCAGATGTCTAAGGTTAATGGACGCACTCAGATCACCAAGGACGACATTGAGGACGTGCACTCGCTGTTCCTCGATGCCAAGCGCTCATCGAAGCATCTTTCCGAGAAGAATAATAAGTTTATGTTGTAAGTTTCTCATATCCACACTAATTGTATTTCCATATGTACGGATTTAACAGTAAAACTTAAATTTAAATGTTAATCGAGAGACTTTTAGCCGGCTTATTACCTGGGATGGGTACATGATGCAATTACAAATGGCTTTTTTGTGTTCAAAATAATGAGTTATTTTATTTTGAATTAGCTCTTAAATGTTAATTTAATTATATTTATGCCAGCAAAAGACGTCACATTGTGCACTCTTTTAAACCCTACCTACTGTGATTATACCTTGCGCTCGCATGCCGCTGTTAAACCATACCTTTTGAAAATTGTACCGTGGAACACAAAAGTGTCCCCATAATGTTGGAGCCTCTGTAATTTTTTTCCAATTTTCGACGTGGTTGGGTCGTTGGAGCGCTTGCAAGCCGATGAAAGCTCTCCTCGTCGCGTAGGTGTGTGCTTATATACATAGGTGCCTCGTGTCGTGTCCCTAACATTCGCTACGCCGGTTGCATTAACGTTTTTTGGTGCGTTGCGCCGCGTACTTGTGCTGACCGCCTGATTGTTTTGACTGTGTGTTTATCCTCCCACACACGCGGACGGACACATACACACACACACACATGCGTAATGTGAAATCATAATAAAGTGTAACATACCGTTATAGTTATTACATGTGTGCGTGGGCAATAATTAATATTTGTGTGGAATCGAAAAGCCGGATTGTGTTTTGGTGCCTGGAAAAGCCTTTGCAATGGCAGGATCTTTGTAAAATGGAAACATTTGCAGGCGGCCTTTGGATGAATGAACAGAAGCAACACAGAATCGGCGGCAGCTAGAACGAAACACCCACAGACAGACAGACAGAGAGAGAGAGAGAGCGAGCGAGAGAGAGAACAAACGTAGTAAGCAAAAAGCCAGCCAGCCAGCCAGCCACCAACACAACAAAGAGAACAGAAGGTAAGTGCGTGAATAATTGTGGGTGTGCGTGTGTGTATGTGTGTGGAGGCCGCACCTCCCCAAGCAGACGGCAAATTAGCGGTAGCAATGCCCGTGTGTGTGTGTGTGCGTGGGTGCTTGTTACACTTTTTTGGCATTAACTGTTATTATTATTTAAGTATCAAGACAGCGAATGGTGCGGGAAGGGGAGAGATTACATAATTTCGGTGTTTCTTCGGCGCACCAGCCCATTGTTGTTGTGGCTCTACTCTGCAAAAGAAAAAGCGAAAGTAAACAGCCGCCGGGCTTCTGGTCGATCGCTTTTCATTCTTATTGGGATTCCTAGATAGTTGCGCTCCCTGCTTTTACTTGGCGTTCTTCTTTGTGCTTTGTGTTCTTGTTTGTTTTGTTTATGAATGGGATTATTGAAATTAATTTCTGATTTTTATTTTTGTGCGTAACCAGTTGCGCGACTCTGAATCCCACTGATTAATGACTCCATCCCGCTTCCACACATGTGGTTATAAATCAACTATGAAATTCCACAAAAAAAAAAAAAGCGAGATGAAAGATGGCACGATGAACTCCCGCTTGCTCAGACAGGGCAGCCAACAGCAGCTGCAGCTGCGCTTCTCCATCAACCATACAAAAGCGGTTTTTATGTGGAAATTTTTTAAAGGCGAAAATTTGTTGGCCAAAAAAGCATAAAACAGACATTTTATCGCCCACGAGATCTTATTTTTCGCTCTCTGCGAACACTAACGATTTCAAGGTTCCCTTAACTTTTTCTTCTCTTTTGAGAACATTTATTTAGTTAGTTATTTAGTGTGACCACATTTGATCTTTACTTGTTACCCTTTCTTTTTTAAGTTTCGATCAGATTATGTACTGCTTAATCTCGAATATCTCATCGGAGTTTCGATTATGATTCTTGAAGAGTATTCGCATGTCGTATGCAACAGACTACATTCTGCTTCCCGTTCATTTCATTTCATTATACCAAAATTATTTTGACCAAACCAAAACGGCCAATACATATAGAAAGCCACATGCATACAAACGACTTGAGCGTGGCCAGTGTTGACGTTAATGAACGACAACAACAATTATGTTATGTGTTTGTACATTTGCACGGCAACAACAACAACAACAACGTAGGCACATTTCACCGCATACCGGACCGCTGCTGTTATACCCTGGCAAGATAAAGTATCCTAAAGCTTCCGGTCTCTGAACTTCTGCAAACTTATGCACTTAGGTGATTTTCAGTTTCAAGTGTAAATAGTCACTGCAAATCGTATGAATGTCAATATATAATGGTGTGTAATACCAGATGCAGGGTACCTTAAGCTTCGGCTACACTCGCTTGTTGTTGTATTTCTGTGGATACTTTTTTTTTTTTGGCACGACTTGTGCCAGCGCCGGGGTCTGGGTCTGGGCAATAAGACGAATTTATGCTTGTCCATTTGCCTGCAATTAGTTTCGAGAAGTCAACAGCGCGGTAATATTTAGTTGTAGTTGTTGCTGTTTCTTTCTGCCTTACACTAAGCTACTTAACGTCACAGCCGACGCTCTCGTAGTTATTTATTGTCTGCCTTTGCTGCGTCGGCACTTTGCATTTCTGAAAAGCTTTTTCTAATATACCCTAGCAGAGGATGTCATGATTAAGACTACACACAGATGAAGGAACTTTGTACGCTGTATACATATAAATATACATACATATATGTACATGCCATTAGTTATTTTCATAAGTGGAAAGCGCCCAGATTATATCAGCAAATCATACATATGAAGCAACTTTTTTTGGAAAAAGTCAACTGAAAAGGGTATCAAAATGGTCGGAACGCAAAGATACAGTTTTTTGTTGTATTTTCTGAATTTGTTTCTGCTTTTTGCGTTATGCTTTGTCGTAATTGTTTGCCCTTCGGAAGGTTGTTCCCTGAGCGGTGCGGGTTTCTTTTCAATTGGAGCTGCAACGCCCACATGATGGGGCGGCGAGCGAGCGGTGAGCAATTCTAAAAAACATTTGTTGGCCTAAACAAAAGCAACAGCTGCGTTCTGCCGCTGCCTTTGCGGCGAACGTCCATTGTGAATGTGCAGCAGCAGCAAGTCAGCCTTGTAAGCGCCACCCACACAAAGCCATCGCCAGCAGTAGCGGGGACCACACAAAAATTTGTTTAGTCAGAGCATTGCAAAGACATCCACACAAACACCAAGACACAAAATTCGGTCCATGTGTGTATGTACATATATATGTGAAAGAGCTGTACCACCAACTATGACGTGAGCAGCAGCAGCAGCAGAGTCTCAGCCATAGAGAAGCTGGCTGTCAAAGTCGCCTACGTCGTTCAAGTCGCGCTTTAAAAGCGTCATGTGCTCAGCTGAGCGCGTCTCAGTCTTGGGAACTCATTCTCTACTTCTCCATCTCTCTCTCTTCTGCTCTGATGCTTTGTGACGTTTCTTCTCTTCTTTATTAAGCACCGTTTGAACGAGGCAGTGCTATCTAAAGGCAGTTCTTGAGTATTTCGTCGTATTTGTACATCGAATATCGTAGATAATAGAAATGGAAATTTTACTCATGCTCCACTTTTAACCTTGGTCGAGGCTTCTATGAGACCCAACATTGGTCAAATGCTCTCCAACGGCGATGCTACTGCAGTCTCGTTTGGACAGTACTTATGTTTCAGTTGGCAGCAGTAAATGGGAAACTTTGTTATGCTCCGCACAGCGTGCAATTTCAATCTTTCGTATTCATTTCATTGCACTTTGGGCCACACCACAACAATGTGAGCCACAGAAACAGAAACAGCAACAGAAACATTAGCAGCAGAGTGCCGACAGCATAAACTTTGCCATTTCTGCTTTTGCTTCTGTGGCTGCTTCTTCCCGTCTTGCTCCTTCTTTGTTGCTAACCTTGTGCCAAAAAAAAGAGAAATTGAAAAACAACACAAGAAAAACTTGCAATAGAAAATGTTTCTAACACAATTTTCAACTTGCCTTCAGCTGCATGTCTGTGAGAGAGGAGGGATGGGGATGGGCTGGTATGGAGGTGAATGACAGATACAGAGCAGAGTAGCGAAAATTGAGTGTGTCCGAAAAGTATTTCATTTGTTGTTGCTGATTTTAATTTTTGTTTTTTTTTTTGGCTAGACCAACGGTTACGCTTGAGCTGGGGCCGCTAGATGGCGCCCAACGATTGGCCAAGCATGCAACACGTTCTTAATTAATTTCTCATTTCAGCCATTAGCCATTAGCCAGAGAGAATCGTTCGATCGACACCTTTCCCTGTCCATGTGTGCTTAAGCGTATGGGATAGCTGTGTGTGGGCGAGACTTCTGCTGACTTGGGCAGCGATAAATGAGTGAGTGGGCCCGTTATAACCGCTGCGGTGAGTCAACTGCCGCCCTCCCTCTCAGTCTCATCGTTTCTCACTCTCACCACACCAAAAGCCTATACAGTGGTCATTCGCATATCAGGGTTTCTCAACAAATTATATACAGAAGACATTTACTAACAAAAAGTAAAAAATTCAATTAAGTTTTGTAAGTTTAACTTTGTGAATGTTCAGAATTACAACTAAGAACTAGTTTTTTTCATAAAATATATATGTATATTTATATATATGTACATCATTGCCAAAACCTTTGCTTTAACTTCTGAGCGACCACTGTAGGCGATCAATAAGCACCAATACGGTACTTGACTTGGGCTTGACTAGCTTGTGTGAGTATGTGTGCATATCTCCTTATGCATATACTCATAAATGTACGTGCCGATAACGTGCCTGTAAATATTTGCAAACAATTGAGTGCTTCACCTGAACTCTCACAATCTCTTTCCCTCTCGCATACCTTGTTTTTTTTTCTTGGCTGTGTCACTCCACTCTCGGCAGGTAACGAGGGGGGGCCTTTGGCTTTGGTTGCCTTAAAGTCTGCGCTTATCAACGAATTTCCACTACGTCTCAATTTACTTATTGCCGCACCTTTACCGCTGAAGCAACAACAACAACAACAACAACGAAGCGAAGCGAAGAAGAACCGCAGCAACAAACACGAAGAAGAGCAAGAAGAAGTGCCCAAAAATTGCATGATTCATGTTCTTGGCATGTCGCAGCGCTGTCGACGCAGACGTTGACTTTGCTGCTTTCATTTTTGTTGCGGTTAGGTGGGTTGCTATGGGGTGGGGTGGCGGTGGCGGTGGTTTCGCAGTGGGGTGGGTTAGGGTGAGGTGCGATGTGGGGTCGCCTGTTTCTGCCTGCTGCTTGCTTGTTAATTTTAATTGATTTTAATTTGATTTGTCTAAAGAGAATTGTGTTTACACCGACGTCAGCGTTTTTTAGTGTGATAAAAGCTTCCTATCTCCTCTCTCGTTTCCCCTCTTTTTGGCATCCTTCAAATAAATTGCATTTTTGAGTGCATGTTAAAGGAGGGGGCGGAGAGGACCAGGATGGATGACCCAGTTACGCCTCAGATAAATGTTACTTGGGGAAATATTTTATTTAAATATTGCAGGAGCAAACCACTACATGTACTATTGCTATGCCACTGCCACTCCCACCCAAATAATACCTTAGAAACAAACACTCTTGAGAGCTGTCCCAGCTGTACCAATCTCTCCCATCTTGCTCTCTCTCTGTTTCTCTCTGTCTTGGTTTCGTTTGACGACGCTCTCTGGAGGATCTTCCACCTGCACTTTGTTAGCTCGTTGAGGCGCCTGCTGGGAGACTTGAGTGGCTGCACCCGTCTCAGCCACAGCTTCGCCTCAGCTCACCCGCTGCTTGGGGGCTTAATGAAATCCGCATACAGACACACACGCACACACATGGATTTGCTGCAATGCTCAGAAACTGTGCTTTACTCTTTTATATACCCTTCGCGTTATTTGGGGTGTTCTGGTTTCGATCAGAAGTTAGCCTGCAGAAACGTAGGCACTAGGGACCTCATACGAGTGTGTACCATTGCATTTGAAAGAGTATCTGGAGTTTAGGGTAGCCCACTCTCCACTCTCTCCTGTCTTTG